GGGGGGGGGGGGGGGGGGGGGGTGGGGGGGGGGGGGGGGGGGGGGGGGGGGGGGGGGGGGGGGGGGGGGGGGGGGGGGGGGGGGGGGGGGGGGGGGGGGGGGGGGGGGGGGGGGGGGGGGGGGGGGGGGGGGGGGGGGGGGGGGGGGGGGGGGGGGGGGGGGGGGGGGGGGGGGGGGGGGGGGGGGGGGGGGGGGGGGGGGGGGGGGGGGGGGGGGGGGGGGGGGGGGGGGGGGGGGGGGGGGGGGGGGGGGGGGGGGGGGGGGGGGGGGGGGGGGGGGGGGGGGGGGGGGGGGGTGGGGGGGGGGGGGGGGGGGGGGGGGGGGGGGGGGGGGGGGGGGGGGGGGGGGGGGGGGGGGGGGGGGGGGGGGGGGGGGGGGGGGGGGGGGGGGGGGGGGGGGGGGGGGGGGGGGGGGGGGGGGGGGGGGGGGGGGGGGGGGGGGGGGGGGGTGGGGGGGGGGGGGGGGGGGGGGGGGGGGGGGGGGGGGGGGGGGGGGGGGGGGGGGGGGGGGGGGGGGGGGTGGGGGGGGGGGGGGGGGGGGGGGGGGGGGGGGGGGGGGGGGGGGGGGGGGGGGGGGGGGGGGGGGGGGGGGGGGGGGGGGGGGGGGGGGGGGGGGGGGGGGGGCGGGGGGGGGGGGGGGGGGGGGGGGGGGGGGGGGGGGGGGGGGGGGGGGGGGGGGGGGGGGGGGGGGGGTGGGGGGGGGGGGGGGGGGGGGGGGGGGGGGGGGGGGGGGGGGGGGGGGGGGGGGGGGGGGGGGGGGGGGGGGGGGGGGGGGGGGGGGGGGGGGGGGGGGGGGGGGGGGGGGGGTGGGGGGGGGGGGGGGGGGGGGGGGGGGGGGGGGGGGGGGGGGGGGGGGGGGGGGGGGGGGGGGGGGGGGGGGGGGGGGTGGGGGGGGGGGGGGGGGGGGGGGGGGGGGGGGGGGGGGGGGGGGGGGGGGGGGGGGGGGGGGGGGGGGGGGGGGGGGGGGGGGGGGGGGGGGGGGGGGGGGGGGGGGGGGGGGGGGGGGGGGGGGGGGGGGGGGGGGGGGGGGGGGGGGGGGGGGGGGGGGGGGGGGGGGGGGGGGGGGGGTGGGGGGGGGGGGGGGGGGGGGGGGGGGGGGGGGGGGGGGTGGGGGGGGGGGGGGGGGGGGGGGGGGGGGGGGGGGGGGGGGGGGGGGGGGGGGGGGGGGGGGGGGGGGGGGGGGGTGGGGGGGGGGGGGGGGGGGGGGGGGGGGGGGGGGGGGGGGGGGGGGGGGGGGGGGGGGGGGGGGGGGGGGGGGGGGGGGGGGGGGGGGGGGGGGGGGGGGGGGGGGGGGGGGGGGGGGGGGGGGGGGGGGGGGGGGGGGGGGGGGGGGGGGGGGGGGGGGGGGGGGGGGGGGGGGGGGGGGGGTGGGGGGGGGGGGGGGGGGGGGGGGGGGGGGGGGGGGGGGGGGGGGGGGGGGGGGGGTGGGGGGGGGGGGGGGGGGGGGGGGGGGGGGGGGGGGGGGTGGGGGGGGGGGGGGGGGGGGGGGGGGGGGGGTGGGGGGGGGGGGGGGGGGGGGGGGGGGGGGGGGGGGGGGGGGGGGGGGGGGGGGGGGGGGGGGGGGGGGGGGGGGGGGGGGGGGGGGGGGGGGGGGGGGGGGGGGGGGGGGGGGGGGGGGGGGGGGGTGGGGGGGGGGGGGGGGGGGGGGGGGGGGGGGGGGGGGGGGGGGGGGGGGGGGGGGGGGGGGGGGGGGGGGGGGGGGGGGGGGGGGGGGGGGGGGGGGGGGGGGGGGGGGGGGGGGGGGGGGGGGGGGGGGGGGGGGGGGGGGGGGGGGGGGGGGGGGGGGGGGGGGGGGGGGGGGGGGGGGGGGGGGGGGGGGGGGGGGGTGGGGGGGGGGGGGGGGGGGGGGGGGGGTGGGGGGGGGGGGGGGGGGGGGGGGGGGGGGGGGGGGGGGGGGGGGGGGGGGGGGGGGGGGGGGGGGGGGGGGGGGGGGGGGGGGGGGGGGGGGGGGGTGGGGGGGGGGGGGGGGGGGGGGGGGGGGGGGGGGGGGGGGGGGGGGGGGGGGGGGGGGGGGGGGGGGGGGGGGGGGGGGGGGGGGGGGGGGGGGGGGGGGGGGGGGGGGGGGGGGGGGGGGGGGGGGGGGGGGGGGGGGGGGGGGGGGGGGGGGGGGGGGGGGGGGGGGGGGGGGGGGGGGGGGGGGGGGGGGGGGGGTGGGGGGGGGGGGGGGGGGGGGGGGGGGGGGGGGGGGGGGGGGGGGTGGGGGGGGGGGGGGGGGGGGGGGGGGGGGGGGGGGGGGGGGGGGGGGGGGGGGGGGGGGGGGGGGGGGGGGGGGGGGGGGGGGGGGGGGGGGGGGGGGGGGTGGGGGGGGGGGGGGGGGGGGGGGGGGGGGTGGGGGGGGGGGGGGGGGGGGGGGGGGGGGGGGGGGGGGGGGGGGGGGGGGGGGGGGGGGGGGGGGGGGGGGGGGGGGGGGGGGGTGGGGGGGGGTGGGGGGGGGGGGGGGGGGGGGGGGGGGGGGTGGGGGGGGGGGGGGGTGGGGGGGGGAGGGGGGGGGGGGGGGTGGGGGGGGGGGGGGGGGGGGGGGGGGGGGGTGGGGGGTGGAGGGGGGGGGGGGGGTGGGTTGGTGGGTCGGGGGGGGGGGAGGGGGGGGGAGGGGGTGGGGGGGGGGGGGTGTTGTGGGGGGCTTGGGCTGGGGGGGGGGGGGGCGGGGGGTTTTTGTTGTGTTGGGGGGGTCTTTCGTCTAGTCGGGGGGGGGGGGGGGGTTTGGGTTGTGGGGTGGGATGTGGGGGGGGGGGGTGGGGGGGCCTGAGGCTGGGTCGGGCTGGGGGGAGGGTGGGGGGGAGCACGGGGGGGGGTATCTTCAAGAAATTTGAACCAGTAGTTCACATATTGCGGTCACGTTTACTTCATTTTTCCTCGTGAATGGAGCTGTTTGTTGTCCAGGTTACACTTTATATTTGTGCTGATAGTCTAAATTGCCTTACCCATGTAATCCTGCAGTCAACTGACGTTAAGGTCTATAGCTGACAGACTTGTACCAGTTTTGGGATTCCCCCGGATTGCCTGAGTAGGTTGTGTAAAATATCAAATAAAATCATTAGATTATTGTACACTTAGAGGTCGTTTGCAGTATGCTAAGATATATGTTGTATTTTTTCATCTGACCCAACAAACACGCGAGATACCCACGGCGCGACGGTTGAATTCAACACGCCACTAAAGCGAGCGGCTTCTCACGTCTTTCCCTAGCTAGCTTACGTCGTTCGATGTCGCATTTTTAGCCAATACACGGGAACTATGGTACAATACACTTTCATCCCGTCACTCTCGTGTCTTCTTTTCAATCAATGGGAACGGAACTCGTCACTAGTCTATCACTAATACTTCAAGTCTGTCCACATGAGTTGATCACTCTCGATACACCCTACCCGTCTACCATGTTTTAAGTCTTTCACTAGAACTATGCCTTGTGTCACAATGATTTCAAGCAACATATCAAAGTATCGTTACTCACCTTTCATCATTTAGTGCTTCTGAAATAGAAATTGCTAATAATTCCTGTGGTAGTATCTTCCCGATATTTGCACAGTGACAGTTACTTGCTTCTTCCCAGTTTCCAGGTTCGAAATTTCATAAGCCACGAAATCTTCGGCTGGTAGTGTTAGCGTACGTCGAAGCATCGATCCTCCTTGGTTATGTTTGTGGAGGTGGACAACTATTATGGACTATACAGGATCTCTGATCCTAAATGTTATGCATATCAAATGTTGGCTGTGTGGTTATAGCTTATAACGTGTTAAGACAGAATAATTCTGCAGCTAGTCCGAGGCTATTTACTGCTTCGTGCTGATAATCACTTGTCTCGTGTGAGATTTCCATACAGCCATTTCGTGAACCGTAGGTACCAGTCTGCGACGCCACCTATCCAGCTATGACGTGCGAGGATTTAATGGAGTTGTGGAATGAGGGAGGATAGTGAATCCCCACCATCCCCACCCCACCGTCTGGCACCGTTGCAAGGGCGTATTGACATATTCTCTGGCGATACTGTTACTTCGATTAATGTATTCGGAAAACTGCTTGCCGTTGTTACATGAAATGGCGTGCGCACTTTTCATGACGGCGCTACGCCCAACTAGTAATCCCTTACGGTTTTGAGTCACGGTCAAGCCATCAAACCATATACGTATAGTACGTTTGTTTCAATGAACAATGACTTTATACGGGTTAAGAAGTGTTGCCTTACAAACCCCAATGGGTGGTCTGGAGAAGCTAACGACAACGTTAAAAAAGGGAAATTTTGATACACTTATTGATAAAAAGTAGGGCTTTTTGTTTAATTGCTTGTGACGCAGTAGTTCTACTCGCCTCATGCTTTCACGGTACGAGTAGTTGACAGATGGTAAATCCAGAGATTTTCCCCGCATGGAACGAAGCGATAATGTGATGTGGTAAAATGCAGGTGGCCGAGTGCAACATAAAACCGCCTTCAGTCATGTTCACATCGTCCGCGTAATCGCTGAAGGTGCAATGGCCGACTACTGACCCATGATGGCTCCCATCTACCTGTCTCCCTGTTTTACTCCCTTCGATTCGCACTCAATGTAGGTGTCTAAGTGAAGGTTACTCTTGGGCTGGATGCAGAAATGGTACTCAGTACAGGTACTAGCATTTTACTCATCTCTAACGTATACCGACAGCAAAGTGTACAAGGCAATAATGGAATGCTCACAAAATGCTGTAACCGACTTGGTAACTAGGTTTGTGCAGCCCAATTTCACTACAAACCAACAGTATATTGTACTGCTCTTTTCATATCCAGTCCGGATGTAGTAGCGTTGCGAAACACCATTTGTGTGGTCCAGTTCTATGAAGAGTAGTTCCAGGTTAATTACTACAACTGTTTAGATCTTACTACCAAATACTACATGAATTATTTTCAACTAAAGGTGGAATAAGAAAATCTAGCTAGAAAGCGGCAGGAAAATGGATAAACTTGTGATGGCTAGCGTTACTTCAAAGAAGCCTGGGTGAACATGGATGTCTCTGTGATCTGCTTTGTGCTTACTTACCTAGTATACTGGCTTCCGGAGTGGATATTTCTGATACACGTTCCTGGAAGCCCAAACTTTCGTTATCGTCATATCTGGAAAGGCTTGACGGAGATTCTGAACAAGAATGGTTACGGGATAATCTAAGGAACGGGGGACTAAACACTAGCAATGGAATGCATGCTGTAGCAACAAAGCACCGACACAATAAAGCAAAGTACCAGGTCAACTCAATGAACTTAACAGTTTTAAAGCTCTTGGAGTGGAGTTCGTGTACAAGTACTGAGCAGATGGTGAGAAGAAACAAATATTAACTTATTGGAGGGTTGTTTCGAAGCATGCATTGTGTGAATTGACTAAGACGCGCCATCTTCATTTGGACTAGGATTCACTCTGAAACGAATCTTTTTCAGTTATATCATTGGGGCTGTATCTGAAACATAAATTTTAGGTGCTACCCAGCAGTGACCTGGAGATTTACCCGTCTAAGTTTGCACATTATTCTAAAATATTCTAAAATTATAGTTTTCTTATGCATTTGGGAATTAGTTGGTTTGCTTGTTTGAATGTTGCTCACCTTTGTTTGAGACATACTCACTCGTGTCCTCTGCTCGACCAATCGGACGCCATCTGCGGCTGTCGTCGCGCTCAGCACACTTCCATATCTTCCCTAACTAGCTCTCTCCTGGTGCCTTATTTTCTGTATAATCTCAATACCACGTTTTCAAGAAACCATTCCCCCAGCTTATTTGCGTGTGCTCTCCCGTCCGCTTTCGGTTGATCGATTAGCTGAGACCGACGCCCTATAGCCCAATTGCAACACCAAAATACACTATCCACTTCGTGGCTGTTTGTGTTCGTCTGGTAGCGATATAATCTTTTCACTTCATTCAGCTATTAGAGACGTGTGGTAAAGTCCACTCTTTGGCATAGTATAATAAAATGTTAGACTGGATAGGTTGAATATTCGACTGAAAAAAACGCAGTAGCTCATAAACATTAATCGCATTACTTGCATATACTTTGCTTTGGAACTGCTTTTTAATGAAAGCGACTGTACGATGCTTTCAGTTATTTGCTCTTTCAACTGCTCACAATCCCTTAGGGTCTCAGTTACACATCGGCATGTTTCTACCCAGTCTACCTATGGGTCTGACAGAAAGTGAAACATTGCAATGAAAGTAGATAAAGTCCCAGTTGTATCCTTTCATTAGCTCATACCCTTGGAAATTTGGTATGCAGCAGCATGCTGTTGCTGTATACTCCGTCCAGTCGTGGGTGTGATTACTGGGAGCAATGAAGGACATATCGCTTACAGTGAGCTTAATCTATGGACTATCTATGCGAAACAAAATGAAAATAATCAAAAGTAAATGGAACAGTGATATAGTACATACAAAACAACCAAGGCTTGAAAAGTCCCGTGGGATATTTGGTGTAAATTACGTAAGTTCAACAAAGAAGTTACTATAAAGTGAAACAAACATCTGCGAACTCAGCATATTATCCATGTCAACACAAAAGTACATCCGCCTACCCCGATTTTGAGGGAGTTGATGAGTACAATGTTGTTCTGTGGTTTGTCGTCACTCAGTGAACAGAAATTAAGTCAAGTAATGCAGGTGGAGCACTGTGTCATCGTGTTGTTTTTAAAAATGGCTAGCGTGAGCGCAAAATGGCCAAGGTCGAGAGAGCGTTCCGCAGGTGACAAATTCGTGGGTAAAGATAATCCCAGCGGCATTCTACCCGACTGTATTGTGTCACCAGTTTCAGTTGATTTCGTGTTGTGTCTAAGATTCAGCGGGCGGCAAGCGTGATCGGGATTTATCAATATCTGGTACGCCAGAGTGAGGTTGCCACCTAGAGGGTGATGTCTTCCGCAGTACACTCCCAGGGTCTTCAGTGGCAGATGGTATGACAGTTGGAATAAGCCCTTCATATTTCCGACTGCCCTTCACTGTGTGGTCTCCAGTGTAACCAGATCGCACTGTAACCAGGGTTGCCAGACCTGGACCTGAGGCATCTCATACGCACTGAGGATTTGAGGAAAGATGCAGGGATCGAACCGCCCGAAACCCCCTTAAAATATCAACGTGTTGGTTCGCGGTTTTAGAGCCTTCGAAGACGGCGCCGAACAGCTGAGGCCGTCATGCATCACCACCCCCCAAGGTCGTGCTCCTGTGAATCGGTCTTCAACATGTGGCCTCCGAGTTTGTATGCATTTGTGGACTTGTGACGTGCATATTCAATTTTACACTTGCGTGCTTTGAACTAAAGTAGATTTTAGATATTCATGAGTAGGGAGGAAGCAGATTTGCTCTTGACAATATAAAGACACGGTCTAACTCTTTTTGCAGCAGTTCGTGCTATTCCTGACTGCCGATCACCCACCTTATCCTGATTCTGTCAGGGAAAATCAGGAAATTGATTGGATGACACAGACGGCATGGTTAACGAAGAGTAAGGATAAGCGCGGCCTCAAGACTTACCCTTGTTGTACATCACAATTCACATCAATTGGATCAGAAAAGGAGCCCCTACACGAACCTGAGCGCGCTGCTAAAGGAGGAAATTTCCGATCTATCCAAGAACAGGTTTTCTAAATCCATACGTTTGCAGATTTTGGGGAAATATGCCGTGATCTAATGGGCTGAAGGCTTTGGAAAATTAGACATAGATGACATTACTACCGGTCCGCTATCTCGGCACAACTTACACGCTGAAGCTATAGATTGATAGTACATGGCCGATGCTGACGGAATCCCTGTTGTTCCGGTGCTATGATGTTAAAACTTACAAGGTAGTCTTTTAGTGCCGCAGCTATGTCCGACTCCATCACCTTAGAGAGCGCCTGGATGCGAATCACTGGGCGATAGTTGGCGTGCTCAGATTTGCAATTACCTTGCTTCCACATGTTGAAGAGCTGCTTTTCGTCCAGGCATCTTTAAAAGTATCAATGTTAATGGCTCAACTATTCTCATAGCTGCCAGCTGCAGTGAATTCGAGGGAATGTTGTCAACTGCGGGAACTATGGGTGTGCAATGATAGCAGCTTCCTCAAACGGTCGCTGAATCAAACGTGACGTGCGCAAATACGTGCTTCCGGGAGAAAGGGATTGGCACGTGAGGTGCTGGTAGTGTGTCGTACTATTTGAGTATATTGTAGCCGCAGAAAGTTGGTTGCATTCTGCGCGGTTTGAGCGCATCCATCAGCTGATATTTTGGTGGAACACCACGCTACGTATACCGGAGACCGTCCACATGTCACATGGCGGGAGAGCCTATGGTGCGCTGAGGCTGGTGCTGGCTAGATCTTGACAGATGTGTTACCAATTGCTGCTACTGTTGTGCCGTGAGCTCATGTTCTGGAGGCCTCATCGTGGTGACCGCTGTGTAGGAGTTGGATTATGCTCTCCTCCCTGTGTCGTGTTCAAATACGTTGCTTTCTTTTTGCCCTCCATTCGCTTAACCTACTCACACTTCTGTTAACACTCGTTGGCCTATCATGTGATCTTGCATTTGATTGGTTGCAATGCGAACCTCTATCGATTTAATTGTACTGCGCCTGTGAGCGGACCGTTTCCTCCATACATACGTTCCAGTGCTACTCTGGTCTGCTGCTTTTTCGGGATACAACAAATTGACGTCGCGTGTTACCGGTGTCCTTGCGTGCTGCTGCCCCTTCACCGTTCTGGACTGACTCTGCGGTTAGTCCAAATACAGAACACTGGGAAGACTGAAAAATTAGTTTTTCAGAGTATATTTCTGTGCTACGTTCTCAATCCATCCGTGACGCTGAAAACAGAGGATACTTTAAAGCTTTTGCGCTTGCACCTCGGCTCAGAGGGTCGAGGTATATTTGATGCTCTAAACTTGCGGGAGAAATCCATGTTGACAGAGGCCTTATTGGCCCCCATAAACATTGGGGTGTCCGAGTGAACACCTATACTTCACGGTACAAATTTTCGCAGCTGAAACGAGCATCTGGAGAATCAGTGGATGCATTCATTTCCCGTCTTGTTTGTTCTGTTCGAGAGTGTGACTACAATAGTATTCCCAAGAAATAAGTGGAAAAAACCATGCTAATATAACAATTGCCTTCTTGTCACATGGATTCTCGGATCAGAGTGAGTCTCTTAATGGAGAACCCAGAAAAGCTCACTTGGGACAGGGCCTGTGAGGTAGTTCGCAGCCACAGAACAAAACAAAATTTTCCTCTCTAACACTAGAGCTAGTGAAATTGACCGTTTGGATTCTACACTCATTCTGACGCTATTCTCAGTTAGAAATAAGTGTTAGCATTGTGGAATGCTGAACATCGTGCAAATGATAAGTCATGTCCTGCAAAGAGGGAAATCTGCCGGAATTGCGATAAGATCGGTCATTTTGTTCAGGTTTGCCATTCCCGCGTCATTTATTTACTTGACTCTGCAAATGACTCCAGAGCTCCTCCGGTCACCACTGAACAATCTATATATGTTGTTAATGAATGCGAGCATCCACTTTCGTCTCCAACTCAAGAACTCAAACTGCCTTCGCCAGATATTCGTCGTGTGTTTTCTAAAATTAGAAACAAAACCATTTGTCTAGACATGGAATTAGATTCTGCGTCACCAATCACAGTTGTGCCATATTGTTTCTACAAACGACATTTTGGTCAGCTAAATGTACGTCCTTCCGGTTACAGTTTTAGCAGCTATTCCAACGGTGACGTCCACATACTCGGTTTTGTTACGGTTTCAATGTTTCCTACAAACAGCAGGAAGCTTATGGTTGAAGTTTAGGTCTCTAAAATTGCTAGTAAGCCTCTATTGGGACGTAATGCCATGGTCTAATTGAACGTATCACCATGCATCAGCCGGATGACCATTGCCAGTGTCAACCTTTATTCGTTACGTTCCAGTTGCTCAAATCTCTTTCTTCCGGATATTGGTAGAGTCCCAAAAGCAATACACCGCATTCGGTTGAGCGCGGATTACAAACCGTTCAGCATTTATCAGCATATCTCAACCTAGGCCTGTACCACTGGAAAAGCGAGAAGTATTGTCGCAAGCTTTGCAAAATGTGGTCACGGAAGACTTGATAGAACCCATACAGGGTTCCGAATGGCTTCATCCC